TGCTGTTCATGTCACAAACAATAATGAGGTCTGGTCTAAATACGTCTAACTCTGTGTACCATGTGATCCACTAATAGTTTCCTCAAAATCAGTGAACATGTTCGTAACCACGTGGGTAGGGACTGTTACTGGTCAGCTGCTACATTGTACTGAACTTTAGAGTAAAACTCAATTTTAGTAACATAAAATAACTGAATGTAATGATCATCAGCGATGTACAGGGGTACATGTATACATTGTAGTTGTCATCATTCTGATCCAATACTGGAGGCTGGCTACTAGTTTTTCTCTTCCGTTTTTCATTTCTAAAGCTTTTGAAGGCTTGTCTACTGCATGTACATAAATACAATGTACATGTACCTGTAGTACCATTCATGTTGATGACATTGTGTTGTTTTGTCCCCTGGGTTCTACAATGCAGGATGCTTGTCTTGTCACAAAGGTCAATGTGAGTATCAAATAGAAAAGCACTGACTGATTACCTCCACATGGGTAATTGATAGTGTATCCAAATGGATATAGAGAATGCAATGCATGTATGTATTGTACATGTAGTATGAATGCATGGGCAGCCCTCCATGATGGAACAGGTGCTTTTGACCATTTAAGTACAACTCATTAGGGTCATGAGATGTCTGGTCCTTAAGATGGAATTGGTTTGAATTTTCAAACTCTAAATGCCACTATGAATCTTGCTACATGTACATGTATTGTGATGTGGGGCATACAGCCTAATTGTTCGGGTTTGTGACTTCTGATCAGAGGGTGGGAGGTTCAAATCCAGCTGGTGGCAGCATATTGTGGGCAAGTTACTTTACCCCCAAATACCATACGTGCATGCATCGACTTTTGCCACGTGTCTTCCATACCTATATTTGTAATGAAAAGCTTTTTGTTTGGATACCCTGTGCCCCATTACCTTGAGGGTACAGAAACCACAATATACATGTACAGTGTAGGTGTTTGGTATATGGCTGAGTATGCCAAGAGTTGGCGTGAATTACTATGGATGTGCAATAGTTCAGTTTGCATACAAAATACTCTGTGAACTATAGGTAAACTCAATGAATAGCTGAAGGTTGGGTTATGAAAGCCAGGAGTCTATTGGAAGAAACTAACCAACCGTACAATGCAAGCCTTAAGTTGAAAGGATGTAGCTACCTGTGCATGGTTGAGCCCCAGCCATGTACAGGCATTATATAGGAAGTTGAGCTGCCAGTGGTTCCACATCTGACCACAGAATAGGGAGCACAGTCAGAAATGGAAAGTCTGGATTTTTGTTGAGAAAAGAGAACTTGAGTGTCCAGAAATGGCTAGCCCATGTGGCACAGAAGAAAATGGACAAATAACTTGGGCCAGAAATCGAAACCTATAAAGCACTTGGTGATAAACCCGTTTGTAAACATGAAGCCTCTTATGTCAACCATGTTGAACATGACAGTGTCATATATATCATTAACATGGGCTGAGATAAACAAGAAAGAATAATTCATTGTAATCATGTAAGCCTACCAAAGCTGAGCTATGACATCAAGTTCTTTTGGGGGAGGAGGTTGGGAACATGGGAGAGAATATAGAAAAGAAATATCAGTGGACTTACTTTCTTGTCCACAGTCAATGTGTCACTGACTCAAAGTAATTGCTACAAGTATTTACTCTATAAAACATGTATGACTTTTGCACAAACAAGTCATTTGAAATTGCACGTATTCACTTAATTTATGAAGCTATAAAAAGATCATATCAGGTGAATTGCACCTGTACCAGGCATACATACATGTGTACATGTAGACATCACATGGCAGGCGAAGTGTGTGTGTATGCAATGTCTGAAAATCATGATTTGTGACCCAAACTCTGGAGTGTGGAAGTCGAATGATTACATGGATCACAAACTTAGAGGAACTGATTTGTGTGTATGTACCTGTTTAATGTACATGTATGCCTTCAAGAAAGGCTTGGTCCAGTGGCATTGGTGACAAACTGTAATAATCACATACCAGTTGTACAACTAAAGCGAAGAACTGTATACCGATATAAAAGGAAGGATTTTGGTGAACCAAAAAAAAAAAAAAACTGTTGGGAGTGCAGGTCAAGAACAGTGTTGTCTTTCACATTCTTCACCACCTGAAAACAGTCAATTTTTGGATTGAAAACTGGTCACATAAACATTGTACTGTACATGTGCTTGTATTGTGTAGGAGTTCACAGAGAATCCTTTATGTGATGGGATGTGCTTGGCTGGTTACACTGGTTGGTGATATTCCCTTATACAATGAACATGACCGTGGGTACATATTTATAGGCTTTTTCACACTAGACAGATCTCAGAGTGGATGCAGGGTCGAAAACTGGCAGCGTTTCACACTTGAAAATGTTCAAACCCACGTCAACCCTGAGATTGACTTCAACCCGAGTGGAACTCAACCCTGCTGCGAACCAGGGTTGAGATTTTTCAGCTGGGCTTGAAAATTGTTTGTGCTCATTCCCGGGTTGAACTCACCCTGATAAGCTCAATTCACACAAAACAAGTGTGAAACAGTGCTGGAATGAATGTACATGTTGGGTTGAAAAGTCCAAGTTTCAACCAAGGGCAGTCATAGGTTCGCTTAGGCTTGATTGGCTGTAGTGTGAAAAGGCCTTACCTAGAGTGCATTGTAAACCCATTGTCGTGAACCGACCTGTAATAAATTTGCTCTCAGTGTAGAGCCCAAAAAATGTATCTGGCAACCATGGCAGTTTACATTTCAGCTGTTGTCTTCTGATTCTGTAGTTTACTTAACCCTAACCCTCCTCAATCCTTCACCTGTTGGAGGACTGAGGAGTGTTAGGGTTAATGCTTTATTAATACTGGTGGACTTCAGAGTAATTCAGTGGAAATTGTTAGAGAATACAATGCCACCAAGTGGTCACATTCTGAACTTGGAGTACTAGACTTGTGTTCATTGAAGTTTAGTGGACTGTATGTGATGTGTATACGTATACTAGCTTACACGTACATGTATGCAGTACACTGTCTTCATGGTACAAGTACATTGATAGTTAGGTGTGTTATATATACCGGTATGTTCCTGACACCTGCTTTCTTCACCATATAGGCTAGCAAGGTTTCCCACATTTACTAAGCTGTACATTTGGGGTATTCCAACAGACGTGGTCTGTGTTTCACTCCAGTCTGTTATTTTTACAGTGATACTTAATCCATTCCTGTATTTTTGTGCCAACTACAGTACATGTGGTACTTGGTGATTTATAGGCTTCCAAATGCTGGAAGATATCCATTTTTAGATGGACTATTTGATTTGCTTGATGAGGTGTAACAAGTACATGTACATGTAATATATGATGTTTGCATTTGTCTGCAGAGCCATTATGTACATACATTGTATCTAGACTCAAACTTCATGACCGTGGACAAAAACGAGTGCACCAATACGTGCACGTTATTGCTGTACGGTGTTCATTCATTTTTTTATTTCTTCATTACGGTTTATTTTAAAAACTGATCAAACAAGTCGTCCAAAGACTAACAATGTCTGATTTACAATACAAAAGGATAAAATGTAATAAAATGAAGATTACAGCCAAAGGTAAAAAAGGGGATAATATAAGAATACATTGAAGACAGACTGAAAATTATAAGAAATCAAATATTGGAAAAGTAAACAAAATACCAAATAAAAAAACACAAACAAAATTTATAGACAAGTACCAGCATTCAGGAGCGTAGCCGTGGAAGGAATTGGAGATTGCTTATATTGCTGAGTCCTTGAACGGGGAATATGGAACAGTTGGGATTGCCAAAGATTGTGACCAGAAATGTTTTGACGAGTGAGGGACAGAAACAAACGATGTCGTTGTTGCTCTGATGTTGCAGCCGTCATCCATATGTAGTGGATGGGTACATGTATAGGCGTATTTATGAATTGAAGGGTGATTGGATAATCATTGCTTACAGTGTATGTGTACGTTATGTAAAGAGTTGGTTTGGAGATATGTATAATTACCATAATGACCCCAAACATAAAAACGTCCATAGGTGTCACTCTCTCGATGTCTTGTTGGCCACATCTCGATTCTTTCAAAATCTGATCAGACATTTTTGTTCATCGTGCAGAAAACCCATACCATACACTTTACATTCTGTACTCTGAAACTTTCAACTTGTGTTCATCCCCAATTGCAGTAGCAGGCTTCCATCTTCCTCTATCCTTCAAAAATCCCCATTAGTTTGGATGGATTCTAAAGGAAATTAACCTGCTGGGTACAGAATGCTGTGAGAATAGAGAGAATGGTTCACTGCTTTTTGTTCCGTGTGAGTCTCTCTGTTCAGGAAACAACTGTACTTTACTTACAGAATACGTTCATTGTCATGAAGGAAGACATAGTGTTAACCATTCTACCACAGAAATATAATGCTGTGCTAATCACGAGTGGATTGGGAGGACATCAAGGCCATTGGCCTCCCCAAAGGAACCCTGCTCTATTTATTTTGTAAAATAATGATAGCAAAGTAAACCTTTTTGCTCTGTGCAATTCTCCTTCCTGCAAAAAAAAGTGTAAAAAGTCCCAAAATGTTGCCTGACCCCTCAAAAAGGTCATAACAGGTTACATGAGAATGTCCCAAATATTTGGTCCCCCAAGAAACAAGATTACTCCCCCCCTGAAAAAATTGTTTGGATGCACCCATAGTAGTGATAGTTAGTATTTGTTGAGTTTAGAGCTCATTAATTATTTCAGTCAGCACGATCTGAATATGCATAAGGCAGGGTTTGCTTAACCTCACCAGTATAGTTTAACCAGTACAGCTTTTCCGTCTTTTTTCTTTCCTTGGTTTGCATGACATAAATTTAGCCGCTGCATATGACTAGCTCTTTTTGGGGGGATTGTAGCCATGTAGATGTACATATGTGGTTTGACCACTTAAAATATTGCTGACCCATTTGTTGATTTTTCCAGTCAGTAAACAGAATTGTTATTATTTTGTCTTTCCCATTCAGGATGTCGGGGAGCTTAGTGACACATGTAACCGAGTAAGTGCTCTTGATGAAGTTTTCCTTAATGATAATTGCAAGAGAATTTTTAATACATGAAGAACAAGAAATGATTATTCCTATATTTCCTTCAACATTTTGGCAGTGCTTTGCTTATTGATTAAACGTAAAGAGTGACCCACATGCAATGAATCAATGTTGGTTTTATTCATGTTTTAGTTTCATGTACAGTTTATCTTCAACCAGTCATCAGCTGATAAAAACATTGGCTGATACAGGATGTGAATGAGTAATCTTTGGAATACAGCATTTCAGGCTGATTCATGTAGTTCATACTTACAAGATGTAAAGCTGCTGTAACTGAGAAATGAAGGAAGTATTGCCCAATACAACAACCGCTGGACTCTGCCAGAACATTGATTTCATGTGATGGACATCAGTTTTTGAGGTTGGAATGTTTACCCTGATGTAGGGAATTTCCTGTACTTAATTCTTTATTGTATTCTAAGACTCCCATTTTCTGAATTATGTTTCCAGTTTCTTTGGAGCTATAAAATGAACCTGACCAAGGATGTACGATTTGACTCAGCTGCCTTTGAAGTCTGCAAACCTGAACTGAAGAGGGTAATGTCAAATCAGTATATTGCTGGATTTCTTGAATTGAGTGTCTCTTGTAAATTTCTTAAATGTGACACAAGTTCCATGTATGGCATTAAGGACGATCTGTCGTCCAGTATGGTAAAATGAGTCTTCAGAGTTACTTCTGGTTAGCTCAGCCTTATAAATTAATTGTTAAAAGGTGATGGTAAAAAGCAGCTTTGAAAGTGTCAAGATATGAAATTTATTTGTTTGTTGGGGTGTTGGGTTGTTTGTGTGTTTCTTAAAAGTGTCATGTTTTCTTGAAGCTTGCAGTCTCAATCAAGTAGGTTACTTGGTTGAGGCTGTGCTAGTCCATTGGTCAACATGACAAGTAACCTTTATTAGCCAATGTTAATTTTTTTTGCAGGTGTTTTCGTAAGCTGGACTAGTGTTTCACGATAATGTACTGTAATTAACACCTGACATGATTTGGTTTGACATACGTAGTTCCCAGATTGTGACCGAATTGAGAGAGGACAGGGGCTTCTGCTACCATGCCTGTATGACGTTGCAGAGAATATCACCACGATCCAATGTCGTCAGTACATCAATAGGATGAAGGCAATTACCTTCAGCGATTACCGTCTCATCCAAGGATTTTACGACCAATGCCGGTCAGATATTGAGTCTAAGAATTGTGGTAATGTCAAGAACATACAACAGGTAGGACAATACTAACATTACTAATCCTAATCTAATGCAATCTAATCTGATCAGATCAGATGAGAATTGGTTCTTTTGAGTGACAGACCCTTGCCAGCACTTTCATCCATATGGCTAGACCTACAATTGTGTATGGGCACCTCTTCTCATACTCCAAGAGTGAAGGTGCTGGTTGGAAAAATGTGGCATTCAATAGCTCCCTGACTGAAGAATCAGTTGTCATAAGTAAAAGAAACTTAAATCTTTATATCAAAACCTAGAGTGTTGAAGATGAGCTTAGACATGTATTAGCTGCCAACAACACTGTTTACTTGATTGTCTTCTCATCTGGCTATAATTCAGGATGCTCCGCACAGACAAGGAGCCACCATCAATTGTCTGGAGAAGGGTGTGGAAAAACTGCAACCAGAATGCAAGAAGCAGATCCTGAGAGTGGCTGAATTGTCGGCAAATGATTATCACACTGATCGAGCCTTGTATTTTGCCTGTCGGGATGATCGTGAACGCTTTTGTGAGGGGGAAGCTGCTGGACAGGGGGCTATCTATAACTGCCTTTTGAAGCATAAGTTTAAGGAGGATATGAGTGAAAATGTAAGTCTTGCACCAACCTCTTGCTCTCCTCATATTCAATCCCAGAAATTGTTAAGCTTAAGGAGTAAAACTTACATCTGTGTTGTTAAGCTTAAGGAGTAAAACTTACATCTGTGTTGAGGTTAAAGACTTTTGGGTGGCTGTTGCTGCTACTCTTAGCTGTATTGACTCTTTAAATCAAAATATTTGCCTGTAACAGAGGTATCTGATTTCACTCTCTATTGATTTTCCTCTATTCCTGAATTCTACAGTGTCGCAACAAACTCACAACCCGTCAGAAGGTGGCCAGCGTGGATGCCAAAGCAAATTATCGGCTCTTTAGGAAATGTAAAAATGACATCAAAAAGACAAAATGTAACAGGCCAAAGGATTCACAAAACCGAGAATTCCGTCTGTCCAAACTTTTGATCTGTTTGGAAGAAGCCAAGCACAACAGTAAGTATCTTCAAATCCAGAATCTTCTGGCCAAGTTCGAAAAGTGGAAAAATGAATTTATTAGCTTTATGCCCAATCCACTCAGTGCCTTCATGGACCTCTAAGAAATTTGAGGGATTTGTTGGATTGAGGAAGGCACAACCTGGCCACTGCTTTTAACATTGGGTACGAAACCATATGGAAGTTAAATGGGCAAGAATTTGTCATGGTTTCCTGCAGAATGGTTGATTTAGGAGCAATTGGGAAGGGTTCGAGTAAAACTCCTCATCCAAGAAATACGGAAAATGTAAAACCGTAACATGTTTCATTTGTTTTATATTTAAACCTACATTCAAACTAAGATGGAAGAACAA